CAATATAGTACCTTCCTGTTTCGTCACATGGCAACACTGACAACTTTCTGTATTGTCTACTCTGTCTACTTTGCTCTGTTCGGTAATTGCCATGTGACCACAGGTTTCACTTTATGCATCGGGGATATTTAAAGATGCACGTGTAGCTTGTTACTATGACAACCGAGTTTTTCTTCAATATATACATGGGGTGGTAGAAACCATTACTATTAGTTTCATAGGTGGTTCCTGTCGTTTCATTTGATGCCTTTGTGATGCACCTGTCATTTCTTATGATAAATTTGAATTTGTTCAACATACACAGAGGATGGTAGGAATTATCATTAATGTATCATGTTAGATTAGTGTATATTACAATAGAGGACGATGAACCGTTAAAACATAAACCCTTACCAAATCTGAGAACGTCGCCAAAAGTGACGGGGCAATATGCTTTGGTGTGAACTGAAACAGTTGCTGACTGTGATGTGACTGAAACAGTTGTTGACTGTGATGTGACTGATACAGTTGTTGACTGTGATGTGACTGAAACAGTTGTTGACTGTGATGTGACTGAAACAGTTGCTGACTGTTATGTGACTGATACAGTTGTTTACTGTGATGTGACTGATACATTTGCTGACTGTGATGTGACTGAAACAGTTGTTGACTGTGATGTGACTGAAACAGTTGTTGACTGTGATGTGACTGCTACAGTTGTTGACTGTGATGTGACTGAAACAGTTGTTGACTGTGATGTGACTGAAACAGTTGCTGACTGTGATGTGAAATGCCCATAAAGCGTCATTAACCCTTACTTGTTTAAACATCACTTATAAATAACAATGTTTATTGCAAAAAAACTAAACTTACGAGCAAAAGAAACGTTACCAACCAAACTTGTTCCTGAAAACAGAACAGGGTCAATGTTAAGGAAGAAACTTGTATTGTCAAAAGACATGAATTAAGGATTGAAGTTGTATTTGTTGATGTTCATCAGCTGGTGCAGACAGTGCCTCACGTGAGCAAAATCCGTGATGCGTGAAGCGTTTCATGGTACATTTGCTCACGTGTGGCACTGTCTTCGTGAGCTGATAAACGTCAACAAATACAACTTCAATCCTTATATTGACAGATACATAAATAATAACAAAACATTTCATTTAAACACCAAACATGAATTAATTAAAGCGAACTATATCAACGCTGAGGCTTGAATTTGTTCGTGACGTGATTCGTCAATGGGAGTTACGTCTCTTGGTTTAAAGAATGACGGATAGAGCAATGTCATTCGTTTGAAATAAAATTTGCACACAGTAAAACTGGAATTGGAGAGAAATCAAGCCCAAGTTGATTGACAAAATGGATTAATAGGAACGTTCCGTGGATTTTGGGGGTGTATTTGAGTGATGCCAAGCCTATATGAGCTGCAAATGACGGGGATCACCACTTGAAGCAGCGCGGTTGGATTTCCCGATGCACGATTCCCGATTCACTGTAACTTCGAATGGATGCTTCATTTCGGTGACCCGACATATAAATGATATACTGTCTGGCTTCAAAGCCCCTTTCGTTCGTAGCCTGAATTATTTTAAGACATTTGAGGAATTCCCCAAAAGTAGTTTTGCATCTCTCCACTCGATTGATGTCCTAATCAGACTACAAACCGACGTTCATCGTGAGAGGAGCAACAGTTAGCTTGGTAATCTTTAACAAGGCAAGATCGCCCTTTACTGTCAATATTACAAGTTATGCGCTGAATGAATACAAAAATGAATCCATTGTGTCCACAGTTTGGGGGATGGGGGCAGATGTTCAGTTATCGATCAAACATCAAGACTGAAATCAGCGCATGAGACTCCCTTGAATGTTTCCTTTAAAACTTGTCAGTCAATATCGTTTATGCAAACCACGGGCATCAATGCACACACCAACTCGACGATGGACAGAAGATGTGAGACGTCTGATCACAAGAAATGGGATTCGACGACATTCTTCTTGCTACCTGATCCATTTTATAGGGGTGACCTGGTCGTGCTCTTATCTGACGGTCAAAGTGATCCCACAGGTGTCTATAGGTGATAATTCTGGTGATTGTGCTGGTCAAGGCAAGGAGACATTGTGTGGGGCATTGTATTACCACCTTGCTGAAACAGGGTCTGGGGAGTACGACAGTACAACAGGGTGAAGTAATTGGTCGATGTAAAGCTGTCCAGTGATGTTTACTTCCAACATCACCAGATCTGTCTACACGTAGCTTCACGTGTCAGCGTTACGTCTCGTAGTGGTTTGTAAGCTCTGATACTGAACAAGAATGACTGTCGTAGCTGATGACGCCACCGTGATGATACGATGTCTGAGATGGGGCATACGTATGTAGTGTCTTTCTGGGTGGTCGTTACATCAGGTCTGCCACGCCTAGACCGCCTAGTCTGCCTGTAACAGGACATGCTCCTGGCGACTGTCATTCGGCTTCATCAAAACTCCTTGCGATGTGGCAATGCGTAGCTCCTTGGTGTATCATACCAACGTCTTGTTCTCTCATACCCATATCCTTGCAGGTGTGAGTACAAACATGTCAAGTTGACCAGTTTTCTGTCGATTTGAAGACAACTGTACACTGAGCCTTTGATTCACATGGTGTTGTAAGAAAGTTTTTCTATTACATACAATTGCTTCATTGTACTGCTATTTCCATTGTTCTGTTACATAACCACCTACATCTGTACAGCTATTGTTTTAGTGAAAAGTGAGAAAATATTAACATTCTATCCATAGGTTGAAATGGAAATGTGACGTAAAAACATCTCAGATCTCTTTTATGAAGAAAAAAATCTCAAACCCTACAAAGAAACAAACAACATGACTCCCCCAATATCAAATTGTCCTCCCCTTAGCATGAGTTTATGAATCTCAATCAAATATCGATATCACTATCAAATAGCTCGTTGTTTTGAAGATCATATTGAAACATAATTTGCCAATAAATATGCATATCTAAGGTATTGTATTTAGACAATATTTATAGAATTATTCTCGAACACATCACATCACCATTGGTTGTCTCGCGAAGCAGTTCATATATTTAGACTTCATCGTCTATTTCGGAAGAAACGTTCTCGGTGCCCGGACGAGGATGACAAACTGAAATTGACCACCAAGGTGTTTATAGCCTGATCGGCTGACCATCGAACAATGGTCATCAACAATATCGTTTACAAAGTCGTTGTAATTACGCTTTCCAGACGCCATATCGTCAACTCGGCATGAGCCCACGGCTAATTGTCCCGAGACCACCCTTCTGTTCCTGTTGTTACAAGGTGGACAAGGTGACTTTGCCTTTCATCAAGTGAATACAAAGATTGCCGTTATTGGTTTTTTTCTTTTTCATTAAATATCAAAGACATTTTTTCATTGCAATCATCGAAAATGTCCCTGTTATAAATCAGGCTTTGACAAGACAGTGGAAGGTCAATTTCCTTGCAGTCAAATACAGATCTCCCAATAGAGCAGTCCTCCGACGACACCGCATTGTGCATATTATATAGAAAGGGAAATTCAATATGGTAATTATATTTCAACTCAAAAGATCATATCTAACATGCTCACACAATGATAAAAGTGGGGCATGAGAACCGTCTAGTCACTTGGGATTTCGTCGGATGAAGAATATTAAACACGATTTGTATCAGTTAATTTATAGTGAACAAATGTAAACTATCGCCTTTACCGTTACAAACAATTTGAGAAACAATAAAGTATTTTTTTATTATCTTTGCCACGTATTTGCGAGGTATGATAATACAACGTGATCTGTAAACATCTTATGTGATAGGGCCACTGCAGGCACACTGAATATAAGAAACCGCATGCCTGCAGAGAGTAAACACTGTCAAGATACTTGTTCACACCGCCTGCCGGGAGGAGGTAAATATGCTGGGATGGCCAAGTGGGTAATTACAACAGTGCCTGGGGAATGGGATTGTTCGTCAAGACATGTCTATATCCAAACTACTGGGATGAGAAGCAAACGATGGTGTAGGTCACAGAGAGCGCATGCGTTCTTCAACCAGTTATCCTCCACTTGAAGTGCAGGCCTATACCCATTGACATAATGGAGAAAGTCATTAATATTATGTGAATATCTTGCATGAAGCTATAAGCAAAACTGGATTCACTGGTTTGGTAAGAAGACAACATTGGGTATTTGTGTGTGCCCCGAGCAGATTGGTTTCACTGTAGTGGTATGGTCAATATGGAAATGGGTGGGGTAGTGGTATACCGGTGGTATTACTCATCGGATCTAAATTTTGCAGATGGGTCAGATTGGTAAGGCCTATTTAGTCCATGATTGTTTTTCTCGTTCCATGCGGTATAAAATACCTTATCCTCAGTCGCTTGTTCCGTATTTTATGTACGTGTTTTGGGGTCGTATGTTTTAAGCCAGATTTTATATTCAGACACAACACTGAAATGTATCTTTATGAACAATTTGAAGGAACACAAATAAGGACACATATTTGGTTCATATGAATACAAAATACACTGAAAGCCATGATAACTATAGTATCCGATTCTCCTCCACATTGCACCAAACATATGTGAGGCGGGGGACAATGTATTGTCAATGCAAAGGAATAACAATAGATTATCCGCCGTTACAGATTAAAATTTGGTTCAAAGGGCAAAAGAGCTGTGAAAATTACTAAAGCCTTGCTACACATCAATAAGGGCAGCTATGTACATTAGACGCTGACGGATGAAGCATGAACGTCGGGTAGTATTACGTGTACGTCATCAAGTAAAGGCAGAAGGGAACACAATAAGCTACTTTCTTCATGTGTAGGTTCTTTGGGACAATAACGTTATGTAAGGTGGAGTGTTTGGTAGTGAGGCTGGCTGGGATAATGTATTATGTCCTAATAGTAAAATAATGGTATCTGGTATCTTGTTGAATTGCAAAAGTAAAACATCTTCGGAGTACAATTGAGGTGTCATGTGAAAGTAAGCACATCTCTCACCTTGACGGGAACACAGATGAGCACGAGCAGCAGGTCAGCTGAGGCAAGGCTGGTGAGGAAGGCGTTCGTGATGCTCCGGAGACTCTTGTACCTGCACACAGCAAATATCACAAGGAAGTTGCCACATAGTCCAAACACCAATGTAATGCTGTAAGCCAGGGATACTGGGATGAGCTCCTCCAGCGGCAGTGATGTTACCGCTACATCATAGTCGTAATCATAGTAGTCGTTGATGTCGTAGGTATCGTTGACTTTACTAATCGCGTTGACATCAGTGTTGGTGTATTGTGTGCTTCCTACGCTGTGGGTGGGCCAGGTAAAACTATCCCCATCTAGGGACGTCTCTGCTGTATTATGCATGGTACATGGATCTTATTCTCTCTGTGTTGATATCCAAGACACACGGGTAAGAATAACGTTAGAAAACAAAGACGTTCAATTAACAAACACGGTACAGAAATCCTGGGAACGTCACAAAGTTTCGAATGTTGTAACTCCTGGAAAGTTCTCTCTGCTGACTGTTGGAAATGTGAGGGAATCAATATCTCCTGCAGTCAGTTACAGGGGACGGAGGAGCTGTGCACTAGGTGTTGTCACGGAGACTGGTACTAACAACACCGCCTCACTAGTTTTAAACGTTTCGTCATCACGTGGTCTGCCCACGGGTCACATGACCGGATAATGCCTTAAGAACTATTCACATCAGGCTGAGGAAGAACTAGCCAATTTGTGAAGCAAGACTGATTGTCAGTGTAACTGGAACACAGAAGACCATTCCCAACCACACACAGTCTTGGTAGAATGAACCAGCGGCGTGATTTCGTTTTAACGTCTTCTTTCTGCAATGCGTGTTAGCCTATGTAAATACGATAAAAGAAATAACTCTCCAATACATCTAATTAATACATGATATTGGAAGAATTATGTTATTTATTGTAGGATACCAAGGTATCCTTAACGTTAATGAACGAGTGTTTTGTTTGAGTTCTTGATAAAGCTAGCTGGTCGTGTTGCATGTATCAGGCGATACAGGAGTACCCCTTTCAGTTTCAGTTCTTATACACTTCCCATAATTAAACATGTTTCAGAGAGTGTTCACTAGACACTAATATGGCCGATGTCTCTCCTGAAAAACATTTCTGGTGTCCCCCGCCGTAATATTGCTGAGATATTCGTAAAAGCAGCGTAAAACCTCACTCACTCACTCACTCACTCACTCACTGGCACATATAATTGACACTTCCAATGGTTGTGTTTTATTCGTGACAGTCAATTAGGATGTTGGTGATCTTTAGAAATTAGAATGTTTCCTCTAATGTTCTTCCCAAAACAAATAGTGCAACATGGAGTGGAAATATGCAAATGTAATTCCAATGCTATAAATATGTTTAATATCGTGTTTGCAAGTCGTGGCAACATTGTTGGCACATCACGTGTACTGTTTGGCCAAGAGGCGATCAACGGAGACAGAAGTACCATAAAGGCGAGAAAATCATGAACCTCCGGAACATCAAAATGTCTTTCATGGAAGATTTGAAGATTTGGTCCGTGTTTCTTCTCCCTCCGGTAAGGTTATTCAGCTCCTCACGCTGTCATTTCACCTTATTGTGATGTTCATAACATTTGGAAGCCATCTTGGAATGTCTGGTGATTCAAGTGTATTTCTTCTCATCATACACGTCTATAGGACCATCTCATGCTTGTGTCATCATTTGAACAATTCTTCTAGATGTTGCACTGTATCTACCCCACTGTAATAGTGGATTCACGTTTCCCTATGGTTGATTCATTACCACGACATCTGAACATGTGGGGTGTCTAAGAACATTAAGGTCACATTGGTTACGATCCATCCCAACAATAAATTGAATGTCCTACGCTGTTCGAAATTGCCGATTTAACGGGCAGATCAAGATGTCAGGAATGTATGACCTAGTCTATTGATAGAGGTATCTTGTCATTGATAATTAATTGTAATCATTCGGCATAGTCACTGTTACATTTTTGATGGAATTGGTGTTGGTGTTGGTGATGGTGTTGGTAATTGTATTGTTAAGATCAAAAGGATCATATTTTGTACCCCTACAAAAGCGTCAAGTTACATCAAATGTTTATTTATTTCTTCTGAGGAATACATCACTTCACAAGGCAAGCCAAAAGCATCAGACGAACAAACTTTATTTGGTGTTGCCTTCGCTGTAGATTTAGTTTACAAAACCCAATATTACATCGATACCTGACAACGCCTGGAGGCATTAAGTGCAGCTCTCACCTGTATTCAAAATAAGTAAACATCTCACGGAGGCCAGTTACACAAAGCAAGACATCGCGTTTGTTGGTCAGTGGTGAAATAGCAAAATAAAACATGGTCATGTGATTCAGTATCAAGCGGCTGAATAACGCTGTGCCAGAAGAACTCATATGTCCATTCGTCACGTAATTAATGTGAACGAATCACGACGAACACAGTTTGTTATATAATCAAAAACATTTATCCCCCAACTGTATGTTGTATGTGTTATTGTAAACGTTTAAATTGATTTCCGTTTGTGCTGGTCACGTGATCAGTTGAATAAATCTATAACTAATTGATAAATGGGAATGTCTATTTTAATAAAATAACACATTATGTTCGTGCATTCCCATTTTTTATTAAAAAAAATAATGTTCGAATATCGAATACTTATTTTACATCATGTACATGTACATCATATGTATTTGTTAAGGTTTCCTGCGACACACAAACAGGCTTCACGGACTACTGGACAGAACGTCTGTCCGGAGAGCGGTAGGACGATGGTTCGATCCCTAGCTGCGTCATACCAAGACGTTCAAAGGCGGTACCTCTAGTTTCTCTTGCATGAGAGGGATAAAACAAGGACTGGTCGGCGCATAGTCAGTATACTCTGTCTGAGTGGGGTATACATGTACATACAGAACTGTATCTCAGTTGGTTTACACTATAAAACCAGCATTAGTCTAGACTAGTATAAGCACGTACGCACGTACGCACGCACGCACGCACGCACGCACGCACGCACATCCATGCTTGCATGCACGTCGCTAGTAAATGCAACAACCTAAACGCGACGTTAAACTCCATTTCCTCTCACCTCTTACGACATGTCATCGAGACAAAGCAAATGTACAGGAAAAAACTAATTGCTGGCATGTTCATCCCCACAGATTTTAAATATATTCTTTTACTACCTCGTGCATCCGGCAAGAAAAAATACTGGAATTAAATTTAGTTTTTAAATTCTTAAGACATTCAATCAGTCTCTTTTCTCGAAGATAAGGCTAGCCTACGTAACAGTGTTTTATGATAGTTTCTCTAGCCTCACAAATCTATATGTCGTCGAAGGTAAATGTATGTTTGTTCAGCGAAAATCTGACTCAGAGCTGTCCAGGCCGGTCCATATACACACTGTCGAAATACAAAACTTTCTGTTATGGATTTTGGTTCTGAAAATGCTTTTCTGGGTCGGGAAGACAAGTTATGGTTTAAAGACACCTTGTCCTGCGGTTCCTGCATACAGCGTCGGTATTTCGAGGGAGCCATTCAACAACATTATCACCAGGACCGGAGGCTTAGCACGACAATTAAGATCGATTGAAATTTGGTTATCCAGCTTCGTCGTTCGAAAATGTCAATAAAATGTTGTTGTTTCTTGTCGCCTATACTTGCAGAATCACGATAAGATTGACTACTCTACCAACACGAGATGCTATGTCTTCTGCTTGCTATTTCTTCGTCAAAAGTTTATCAACACAGTTTCTTTTTATTGAACAAAAATCCCTGCCAGATATTCTGTCAATGTTCATTTTACTATAGGTTTGTCTCCGACAAAATGGAATCAGGACATTGAAATATGACTGATTTCATTTATTGGGTCAAGATCGCCAGGATCAATATGGCAAGAAGTCCTTCATGGAATACTTTTTTCAACGTATAATACAATATATTGATTTTTATTTATCAAATAACCTAGATCAGATCTAGTAAAATATGAATCGTACACCAGTATCAGGTGAAACATTCACAGTTGTGCAGGTCTTCAGCAACCCATGCTTGCCGTAAAAGGTGACTGTGCTTGTCGTAAAAGGCGACTAACGGGATCGATGCGTGGATCGATGCTCATGATATTAATCACTGGATTGTCTGGTCCAGACTCGATTATTTACAGACCGCCGTCATATAGCTGGAATATTGCTGAGTGCGGCGTTAAACAACAAACCAACCAACCACAGTTGGGCCGTTAAATAAATACCATCGTATTTTATTTTCAATAATTAAAAAATAAAACACTACCATCATTATGCATAAGTAAACAATATCTATATGTTCTATTGATATAGAAGATCGCTGTCTCCCTATGTACATATTTGACAATAATCTTAATATGTCATCCAGTACGTCTTATTATAATACAATCTACCAAATCTATGGGTTGTTCTACATTTTGCTGTAATTCCCGTGTGCCCCCTGGCGCTGGTTTCAGCCTCTCCAGCCTGCCCCAGTCAGTACAAGCTTTCTCGTGTGTAACAACAGCCGAAATACAGACTCTGCCATCACAATTAATTTGAACAAGTTTCAATTGATGGAATCAATGATCACATGTGGTGTGGACTGTAAACTCAAATATATTTTACACGCACTCTTACTCTTTATCGAGACTGTGAGGTTTATACTGAGGTCAAATGTTTGGCACGTTAATTCAAAGGGTGATGGATTGTCTGTATTGTCACTGCCTGTGTTGTCCATAAGTCTTAATCTCTCAACATGTACATTAATTGTTGCTTACTTATTCACATTGTTTACACCCATTTCTGTTTAATTATATGTAATTATCCTAATATAATGGGCATTTGAATGTATTTTGGGCCGATGACCTTTATACTGAGCAAAACTGTATGTCTGTCTGTCTGTCAGTAACGACTGAACTCAATGTAATGAGTCGGAGAATGAGTGAGTTGGGTTTGACGCCGTTTTTATATATCACGTCGTTATATCACGGCGTGTCAGCTTAATGTAAAGGAGGAAAACCCGACGTGATGCAGGCCTCAAACGTTCAACACTTTAGTGAAACCCACGAGCACGGGTATGGTACTGATAAAACTAAAACACAATCGGGGCTAATCGGGATTCGAACCCACAATCATAGGTTTATGGAGTTGCCAAGCGAGTTATGACGGCTTATACGACTGAGCCACCAGTGTCGAGTAACAGAATTGAAAAACTATGTCTATGTCGCAGTTCTTAGAAAGGCGCCTTCATCAAATAAAAAGACTCGAGAAGAATATCCCCAGCGTATATAAGAATAGTTTTTCATTTAATGTCTATTCAAATGTGAAGAAACAAACCAAAATATCGTTTCCATAGTGACTTGAATTTCAAGATGTAAGTGAAAGGTGAGGAGGAATCATTACCATTACGACTGGCTGTATCTATGCACATTTTCGATATGGTCTGCATTGAAGCGGAGGGAAAGAATGTATGCAGCACTATCTCGTTTACTCACAACCACAAGGGGGGCCTTGTGGGTGTCCGGCGCTACAAACCATGGGACTGGGAGGGGGAGTGAAGGTGGGGTCTAATGA